CACCTGTTACTACTAGCGTGGCACTTGTTCCTACTAGCAAAGGAATATGAAAAAACAGTTTCTCCCCGTAGAGGTCTGACTTCTCAGCGGAACAAAGGGTAGAGAAAATGCCACGAGACCGTCAAGACGCCGCTGTTCATCCGCTTCTCCCGCCCAGCTGTGGGTGGAAGAGGTTGCGCTGACCAACATGTTCCATGCGCAATGTCAGGGGCGTGTTTCACCTCATAAAACACTTGAGACTCCTTCAAATAATCACGGAAGTGGATGGCATTGCCCCTTCAATGACCATTTTCATCTACAAACAGATGGTTCTTGGAAGGAACATACATCATCAGGGTAGGTCCTTCCAGTCACTCGGTGCAGCCGCCGCACCCCTCTCGCCTGGGTCTGACTCGCTCGCTCGTGGTGTGGTGTTGGATCGTTTCATCCATCGAGCTTTGAGAAAAGGCTTTAAGTTCCGTTCCCAGGGTCGGACGGGCCTCGCGACAAGTCCGGAGCGTTCGGACGCGACGAGCTTAGCTACGAACGGAACAAGGTGAAGCTACGAACGGAGCGTTCGGACAGGGTCCAATCCGAACGTCCATCCATGTTCGGGGCCGAGCTCTCTTGCTTTCCTGTGATACACTGTCTTGGCAACCAGCACGGCTCGAGACATGCAGAAAACACCACAGTTAGAAAGGAACCCGCCAATTTGAAAGGACACTAATTTGACAGAACACCATGATAATCTACATAAACTTCTAGGGAACTAATCCGATTTTCCCGATTTGTTCCCTCCCTTCTGTATATTCATGAATTGTCCCTGATGTTCCTACTCGCATGGGAGCCGGACCTGGACACCAAAAACATCAAAAAAAGCACTCCCATCACCAGCCTTCAGTCAGAGCTCGGAAGCTCCATCTTCGTGTCATCTCTGCTCAGAGCATCAGGCAAATGGCTGAACAGTCTCCCAAGCCGCTTTGACTTTCAAAAGAACTCTTTTTCCCGCACCGGTATACCTGTTGGGTGTTTGGTGGGGTTTCCCAATCTCCCGCAAAGGGTTTTCTCTACGCAGGCGATCTTTGGATTTGTCCAGGAACGACCCCAATCACACCCCTAAGAACCCTTAAGCTCTCCATGGCAAGGGTTGGACCCTCCATAGGTGGTCTGGACTCGAACCAAAACCCTATGTGTTGCTGAGGGCCCGGATTCTTACCTGGAACTCCAAAACGATCCCCGTTTTTGGAGCGCCAATCAGTTTCCAGCTTCCAGGCTGGTAGGGACATCTTCACCAGAAGGGAAAAGAAGACATACAAGACGGGCGTCGCTACTAGTAGCACAGACGCGGCCAGGTGTTCCATGTCTGGACCACGTCTTGGTGTTCGCGCCTTCAGCTCCTTCAGCTCTGGAACGAAAAGAAAAGCCAACACAGAAAAGCTCGACTTGGGAGGGTCTACCGATTTACACCTCGGGAAAACATATCTGTTTCAATGGAACCATCTATCGAATCTATCAATACCCCAGCCAGACATATTGCTACCCCCATCTCCCAGACATATTGGCCAGTCACGTCACGTCAGATTGGCCAAGCATCTAAGAGCTTCAAGGCCAAAGCCCAGTCCGCCGCCGCCTCGCAAAGATCGATGAGCCTCAGTTCGGACCCCACGTCTCCACGCGTTCGTCGGTACCCAGAGACGGACGGACAGACATGGTTTTTCGATGTTTTTGTCGAAGGAAGAAAGAGGATTGATGCACTAGTGCCGCACTGGTCCAACCCATGTGCCAACATCGGCATTCGGAGCTTCGGAGTGCCCGCGCTGCGCAGTCGTAGGAGCATCCGACTGACTGAAGGCAGTCGAGTGAATGAATCCGAAAACCTCTTTCGGATTCATTCACTTGGCCTGGACAAACCATCCTTTTTGGTTCCACCTGTTCTATCTCTCTACCGGGGTCTTCCCGGATAGCCTGTGACGCTCTGGTCACATACCTGTTCGTCTCTTGTTCAGTGGGGTGACACTCACCGTTTCGTGATTGCGCTGCGCGGTCCGGAGCGTCGGGATGGACCGGCCCTGTGGGTTACCGTGAAAAGCGGCTCCAGGCAGTCCCTAGACTTCATTCAGAAAGCGGTCTTCATCTCATTTCGAAACATATCATGATCCCCTCCATGTTTTGTATATCGAAAATCCACCAGTTTTCGAGTTTTACCGAATGCCATGACCTTATGATGACCTCAACTTATCCTCCACTATACTTATTACACAAGCAGGGCACTTTCCTTCCCATCTCCAGTATACCATGGCTTAATTTATGACCCCTCAAAATCCTGGTTCTGGTTCTTCATCCGGATTTCACTTGTGAACCCTTGGGCAGCGGCTTCTTCGGGTCGGGCAGCGTGTTCAAGGTGATCAGGCTGGGCGCCTGCTGTGCATCCTCCATGCTCCGCAGCAGCGAATGCCGGACCTGCAACTGGCCACCTTTGTCACAGGCACTGAGCATGATATTGCAGCTCACCTTGGTTTTCGCGTGTTTTCGCACGAAAACCAAGGGTCTCTCCAGGGATCCTCTCTTAAACCAAAAAAACAATCATAGGGTGCGTGCGCGACCCAACCAAAATTTGTCCACTTAGAACGAGTTGCAGTATAAGATTCCCAAACCTTCCTCCTCCATTTCTGGAATCATCTCTCGGGCACTTGCACAAGTCAAGTCCGAAGCGAGTGACTTCCTCCAGTTTTTCCGCGAACATTTCCAAGAACTTCATAGACCCTACCCTTCCAAGGCCTTATATTAACGGCTTTTGTTTCAAATGCTGTTGGAGGAGTAGGGTAGAAACACATGAAGCGAGTCACGGTGTTCGGCCTCAAATCGTCCCTGTTGTCCAGGTCCAGGAGGTGCAGCGCCATGGCCCAGGCATGCGCGGAAACACAGGCGTTGGCCGCTGCGTTCAGCGTGAAGAGACCAAGTTCAAGGCCTCCAATGCCGCACTCTGCCCAGTCATGGACCAGTCGGAGTTGTGGGACACCATTGTCCCGGTGTCCCTATGTCCAGAGTGTTGAAAGGAAGTGCTGAGCATGGAGGATAGGGCTGCTCACGAGGTTTTGATTGGGACACCATTGGTCTCGCTCAGTTGCAGCCAGCGGAGTATTTGAATGAGTCAGAGTCCAGGGTCAAAGACCGATGAACATGTCTGACAAGGGATCCACATGGTGGTTGATCAAAATTCCTTCTTGCTGGCAGGTCATTCTTCGTGAACAAGACATTAATATTCGCGAATCTTTCGCGAACTCCATGTTTAACTTTCGCGGGGGTATACCCTCTAGAAATCATGGTCTAGTGGTTCTACATTCTACATAGCAGCCTAAGCACTTCCATCAAGCACCATTTTGGATCTGCAGACGAGGTTGAGGTGTTACAAGGCAGATTGGTGTTACAAGCCATGTCATGGCTTCTCAGCAGGTGTTTGGACCCTTGAAGCCTTTGGCCTCCGCTCGCCTACACAAGATCGGCTCGGTGTCTCCAAAAAGCCTCTCAGAGGTTGAAGTGGATACAAAAGGATGCTGACTTATCGCTTGGAATCGAACAATCAATGTGAATGGGCTGAATCCCTTGCAATCGAGGTGTTTTACGATGGATGTTAGACTATAGGTCAACCAATCAAAAGGAATACCAAAATTAGGGTTATGGTGCATCGCGATCGACTCCAAACTCGATACCCTCTGCCGGAATCAATCAGGCATCTTGAAGAGCAAGCTGAACTAGCCACGTGTGACATGATGATCAATGAGTTGCTCAAGAGCAGGGTGCCAAGCACTTCTGCACTCCTTCCGGTCCTGCTTGTAGCCTCCAAGCACCGCTGAGGCTGTGAAGATCCATGGAAGTAGGAACTTGAGCCAGCATCACGTGGACCTTCATGAAACCACTTGCGCGTGTTGTCAGAGTTCTTGGTGTCCCAGAACCAGAAGAACCAGGATCACGACCCATGTGCGTGCGCTGTGCGTGCGCTGTTGCGTGCGCTGTTGCGTGCCCTGTTGCGTGCGCTGTTGCGTGCGCTGTTGCTCTGGAAAGCCGTAGTAGGAACTCGTGACGATGTGACGATGTCCACCTGCTTCAGCTTCACGCGCGATGCGCGCACGTGGACGGTTTCCGGCCACATGCGACAACATCCACCCCATGCGCCCCATGACATCGGTACGCACGTGTTCCTCCTCTGTCGGGTCCAGGCCCGTGAGGATGCAAGGGTACGACATCAAACCACATCAAACCCGAAGAACCAGCAGTTTTCAACGGGGTGCTGTTTAGTCCCCAAGTGAGTGGACTAGCTGGGCACCCCAGCCACCTCCATGGATCGCACCCCGAGCTCTGTGACTGCAAGAAGTTAAAGACACCTTGAGTTGTCATGAGATGCTCCACAGTGACTTCCTCGCTTCAGCCTTCCAAGCGGTGCATTGTCCAAGTTCTGCAGGGCACGTCTGAGTTTTTTCCATGTCCTTCTTCCAACCCATCCGATCGAAAAGGATCTGCTTGCGGAGTTGCTGATCCGCCGTTGTAGCCTGTAGCAGTTGCTGCGCAGCAGCCGAAAGGGACCGCTCCTCGTCTCCTTCTGTCCGTCGTTCATCGATCGTCCGGATCATCACGATGACCGTCTTCGTGATGAGAAACACAAAGGAACGTACCGATCAGTAGCGTTTGACCGATCGCCAGTGATCGCATCTTCCCAGAGTCTGTAGGTTCCCTTGTCAGACATCAGAGACATGACAAGTTGGTATGACAAGAAACCTCTTGATCAGGAGGCATGTTAGTCTTAGTTCTGTGAGTTTTCTCAACCAAACACTCCATGTGTGGCATGGTCTGCGGCATGGTTGCCAACATTGACCCCGTGTCCAATGCCCCAACTGATGGGTGTATGCACCATACGTGGAGCGTCCGAGTCTGGGTTTCTGAACCCGGTTGACGGCCGAAACTCGCCGTTCACTTGACCCGGCCCTTGGGCATGAATCACCAGCCGCGGGGCCCAAGTCTTGAATCCACTGGAGGCATTCCAAAGACCTGGGTCTCGAGCTGCCAAGGGTCCAAGAAGCCTCAAGGTGATCTACATTTGGAATATCCAAAAGGAATTTATTCATTCTCTCATCAACGTCGACTCCTAAGTGAATGGGTAAAACAACAACATGACATGAGAGGACCTCGGCCGAGTTTCTTCGAAACACCCCCGGTACCTGTATTCCATGCGGGACAAGATATAAAGTCTCTTTGCCAAACATGTGTGATTTCTTTTGGAAAGGCAACTGTCTGGGTTACTAACTAGTGGATGATGACTCGATGATGGTAAATAAAAACCGTTTCCCGAAATCGTGATCATCCTTTGAAACAGTTCGTTTACTGGATTACATCATGTTCATCCATATACCCTAGGCCCTAGCCGCCTTCAAAAACCTGTTTAACCGTGGTTGACCTGGCTTTGTAGCGTTTAATCCTGGTTTGAATGCTAGGGGGTATACTGGTTACTGAGACATATCCGTCGATAATGCAGGTATATCCTCAAAATAGTAAGGCCAGGAGCCCCTAGTAGCTTCTTGCTCCTAGTATTAAGGCACTTGTCTCTAATAGCTTCTTGTTACTACTAGTAAGGCACTTGTTACTAGTAGCGATGCAATTGTTACTAGTCGTCCAAAAACAACATCCTTTCAGACCTCCCAAGCCCGGTCTCATGGTCAGACGACGACCCCGCGAAAGCGGGGGAGCGCGCTGCCTGGACACTGCCTGGTGTGCTGCTGAAGTGGACTCGCTGAAGTGGACTGCTGGTGTGTCAGAAAGGAACGTTTGGAACTGGACTGGTTTTTGGTCATTTTTAGTGTGGAGTTACATTGTGTCAAGCTGTGGCAGAGCAGATTGCCGTTGCAAAAAACAGCTCTATGGCTCTAGAGACTTGCCTTTCAAAAAGAACCCATTTATTGTCGTCAGAAAGCACCGTTGGGTGACCTTCTCAGCTTCCACGACCCAAGCGGCTGGGCCCAGGCGCGTCCGCGGCCGCAAGCCGTGACCAAAGCGCCCATGAGGATCACGTCGACGAGATGCGGTGGATGGGCGACGAGCTGCAGGGCCTATCGCTGGTCCATCGCTGGGGGTGAAAGGAACACGTCGCTGAGCTATGCAGCTATGCAGCTATGCAGCTATGCTTTCCACTTTTGGTCCATAGACGTTGAGTTTGACTCGGGTCATTGAATTAGAGTGGTTTGAAGACCCAGGGTGGTTGAGATTGGAAACAGTGGATGATGATGGTTAGGTATATATGTTAGGTAACGGAAATTCTGCAAATAAATAGATCCTGGGAACATCGTGATATAGGTGATTCCATACATCGCGCTCAACAGGTATTCCATAAATCGTTCCCGTTCTTTGGTTCACTCGATGGCGTGATGACGACCATCCCTCCGTTCATCCTGTTCAACATAAGATGACCTGGTCAGGTGGCCCAAAGTGCTCCTGACACTCCGTCTGCCATTCCCCCAGCCGGCGCGGTTGATCTTTGGATGATGAACGGCATTATGGCATGGTCCACATGGTCCGCATGGTTAATAGTGGTAAGCCGGTGGCGGTATAATCCATTGCCCAATATTGTGTACTTAAGATGCATCCCGAATGCCACAGTTGACTCACTCACTGACCTTTTGCCAATCCCGTCTCCAAGTCCCACTCAAAAAGGTATTTGGAACCCTCCAAAGGCACACCCCAAAGACCTTTTCAGAGATTACCACTGGAGTCACTGGAGCCCCCAGGCCAGCAAAAAGGCCAGCTGCATCCGACTCACTCCTGTCGGGGGGGGGCACCGACTCACCCCGTGGGGTGTTTCCCATGGCAAAACACCCGATGGACCGAACCAACTCGACCGACCCAACCGGCTCGATCCCGACTCGATCGATGTGGCCTGGGGCCATAAGGAGCACTTGCCCAGCGCAGTGACCAGGACGGTGCGATCCCGGCAATCGCACACCAAGTCTTTCCTGAGAAAGGGGAGTCTCATCAGCCATCGCGCAACCGTAGGTTGAAGGGCCATCGCTAGTAACAAGAAGCTATAGCCTATAGCAGTTCTTGGGATTACTACTAGTGTAGCTAGAAGCTACGAACGGTTCGAGGCCATCGCTTGAGCAGAGCAGTCCACCGTCGAGTTTTCCGCCGCGCAAGCCGTGCACAAACCATCCGGACCGGTTTCTCCAAAGCGTGAGGGGCTGGGTTCGGGACCAGGGATTTCTCCGGATTCTGTCCACAGAACTTCGTGTGGAGTGTCTGGGAGGAAGGCAGGAGCGGCTAACAGCGGCTAACAGGGGGTCCCCTGTCCAGACTACTCAGCCCCACGAGCTGCAAGGACAGAGCTGAAAGGATGGCCGCCAACGGACCACATGGGAACCGGGAAGACGCATGGACCGATGCTTTCGATCACTTTCCTCTACAATCCCAGGGGGTTTTGGGGGTTCCATGCAGTCCTCCGCAGCGGAGTAGCGAGTTTCTTGGGGATGTCAAGGCTGCTTCACTGGGGGAAAGGAACTGCAATCCCGCTGAAAGCTCTTTGCGAGACAGCAATAGCATCAAACATTCAAGAAACACACATATATACACAACCTACCTCGCGGTGACTGAATAATTGAGCTTGTTTTTTTTGAGCTTCAAGCTCGGTCTAGCCGGTAGCGTGTCTGCATAATTGACACATATTGAAACAAAACTCAAACATTCTGTAATGTAGACTCTTGATTAATTGACCCCGATATGAAGAGCTGCTTCAATTCAAATGTGGTGTGTGTATTGATCAAGAGTCTACATTAATCTTTGAACAATATCTTGGCTTAGCTACTCGAAATCTTAGCTAATTTCAAGGAACCAAGGGCATCGCTACTAGTAACAAGTGCATTGCTCCTAGTAGCTAGAAGCTACTATAGTAACAAGCAGCTACTAGTAGCAAAGGGCATCGCGGCATCCCTACGAACAAAGCAAGGACGCTACTAGGGACGCTACTAGGGCCATACTAGTAACAAGAAGCTGCTAGTAACAAGTGCATCGCACAGAAGTAGCTAGAAGCTACCAGGAGTCACGTTCGACGGGGGTGCTTTTTAGTCCCCAAGTGAGTGGATGGGCACCCCGAGCTTCCTCCGTTCGTTCACCCCGAGCTCTGTCGACCTCCCTCCGTCGCCTCCGTCCGTCCACACCGCGCCTCGAGAGCGTGGCGACGAGCTGCTGCACGACGTGCCGTTCCTTCGCTCGGGTGAGCTGCGAGTACAAGCTCCTTGGGGGCGGCTCAGCCGAGTGACTCAGTGGGAGGGGGTTCGGTGGGCAGCCGAGTGGCTCGGTGCTCCGTGTTGGCCGAGGGGTGCTTTTGTTTGACATTTTTGGTTTGTTGGAGCAGGGAAACCAACCCGAGAGTGTATAGACTCTTGATTCAGCCATTTAAACCCCGCCCTCCACTCCCCATGGACTAGAAACACCTCTTCAGGCCCTTTTGGATGGAGGTCTTTTGGACTCCAACTTGACCGGGTTTCCCGGATCGGCTCACCACCGTGGTCTTCACTCGGTTCACCGGAGACGACGGGTTCGACCGACGGAACCGTCTGGTGGATGGGTCCAAATGGCGCGGAGCGACGGAACTTCGTTTTGTTTGCTTTTCAATTCATGTTCACCATGTGATTCTCCAACCTTGAAGGGGATTGATCATGGAGAACACCGGTGGAACCGCCGGACACTTGTCTCAAAGCCTTCACATGAATCCAGGCCATGTCTCCGTCAGGACGTGTCCTGCGTTGCATGTGTTAGTCTCGACGACTCCTGCGGTCGCCAATACGTCGCCTTTTTGATATTTTTTGTGCAGTTCAAATGGGATTTCCTCTCCTCATATGTACAGTGGATCTACAGAATGAAAGGTACCGCAGCTATCGCAGACCTCGAAGAAGCTTCCCGAACGAACACGGCGCCGAACAGCAGCATGATTTCCCTGAAATCATAGCTTCCAGGTGCCACTGAATTCGTGTTGCACCAAGGATTGCGCTGGATCGGATGCGGCTCCATATCCCCTGGTGCTGACCCTGCCAGAGGCCAAGAGGTAAAGCTTCCAGCTTCCAACCTTGAACATTTGCTTATGATTTGCTGATATAAGTCACCGGAACAACACATCTTCAAGAACCAGGGGATTCACCCAGTGATTTCAAGTCACAAGGCCAAAAAAAGACTGAACAAAAAAACAGGCAGGCCAGGCAACGGAATAAGCTCTTTCACTGGGGAAACTCAAAGATCTTCGTTCCTCCGATGCATTCACTCGGTCTGACACCTCCATCTGCACACCGTCCGCTTCCGCTTGAGCCAGAAACTCGTGCACCGCATCGCTAAAGGTCGCTGGACCGGTGAGTTCCACGGTGTCCTGAATTTTCCATAAGAATTTCTCCTTCAGGATCTCCAAGGAACCTGATTTCGACCAACTCACAACCGGACAAAGAAAACACATGCATTATGTGTCATGATGTTTGATTATTGTTAGATCCACAGAAGTCACCCCAGAAGAAAAGACATCCAGGCACACTCCACATGAGTGCCCAAACCACAATACCAAGCAACGCAACAGCACGGGATTGCCGGGCGCCGAGGCCAAGAACCACTGCTCCAGTTGCTCCACGCGCGCGAAGCGCACGCCGCGGCGCTCGGGTTCGGTGAGCCGATGCCCGGCTTCGTAGCCGACGAGGAAGTTCACGTCCTTGGGGATGATGCTCTCCTTGGAGGGTGGCAAGGGGAAGGGAACTGGGACCGTGGACGGAGAAAGCAAAACGAACATCCGGTCGAACAATTCATGTGAGAATTGATGAGAAGCACGGAACGAAGGCAAGTCGAAGAAGGGGGGTCAAGAAGACCGAGGAAAAACAGAAAAACAACAAGCCAAAGCATCCGAGTTCATGGGCAACCACCACCGAGTTCGCGTTTTCTTTGTAGACACCCCTAAGGCCCTAGTCGTACAATGTGTTTTCCTTCCAAGGGTGGTGTTGGTATGTTATATGTATAATGTGGGAGTCTCTAGGTGACCCGAGTCTTGGAATGTCCTCTACTTCGATGGGGCCAAATATGATAATCGTTGGACAAACATGTTACCAAAGCTTCCCCAAGTTAAATTTCGCCCACAAAACAATAACATACAATAACCAAAAACAATGTCCAAACGATAAAAAGAACCAGGCATCATAGGTGCTGATGGGTTGTGAACATGTCACATCCAAATCGGCGTAGTAACCTCCCTGGTCCCATAGGACCAAATACCGAAAGACATCGGCACGCTCCACGGGTGTCAGAGCCTCCCAAATGGGCCACATCAAATCGGGCGATTTGCTCTTACAAAGCTCGGCGATCTCGGTATCCTCACGTGAAGCTCAAGTGAGTGAGGAGTCTGCTAGACAGTGTGAAGCTCGTTTGGAGAGGTTGCAATTTGGTCGTTCGGGAGAGACCGTTTGCACAACAAACCAACATAACATCACATTTGAACCATTATTTCTCGATGAGAATAACATAGAACAAACAATGTGATCATAAATCAAGAGCTCAGCATCATTCCAGAGCTTGTGCTGACATTCTGGGTTCTTGGAAGTCCAAGACTTCACAAAGTCTTCCTGATTGGAATCCAGCGTGTGTGTCTTCCAGGTTTGATGAATGACACATGGGATCTGCTCAAGTCCCACATGGCGTCTCACTTCCAACTGCAAGAGAGACAGCCCTTGGCACACAGAAGGCTCATGAGCTGTAGCCAGAATGGGGAAAACGGCCACACCAAAGACGCGGCAAAAGGCTAGTAAAGTCATGGATCACATGTGAAGGCTCCAAATGGGGGAGCCTAGTGCCTCCAAGTTACGCTATCAGAGCCACAAATGGCTGAGATACCGAAGAAAGTTGACACTAATAGTACCTCGCCTCCTCCATGACCTTCCACGCCTCCTCCATGTCGATCCCGGCCCACACACGACCTGGGACCTGGGACTGCCAGGACGGACTGCCGCCCCAGAAAGACCCCGACTTCAACCACCCCTGGCCGGAACTCTCGGCAGTCCGGACTGGCAGTCTCAGACAGGTCGTGTCTGGGTATGACTTAACTGGGTTCGGTTCTGGTCTTCTCGGTGGAAACGGGTGGGCACGGCTCACCGAAGAGCCGGGCCGGCAAACCGAGTCCTTCAAGCCGGACACCTCCAGACACGACTAATCCATGGGACTGGTATATATTATTGCCTATACACTGACCCCCTATACAGTGACCCCCAATTGGTATATGGTATATATCAGATGAAAATGGATGGAGGCCATTGCTATTGGAGGCCATCGCTCTTAGGTTTACATCTCTTTTCTCTCTTCGTTCTGTGCCAGTCCCCTACAGCGTGTCGTTCTGGGATTGGTGACTCCTCCGAGGCCTTTGTCGGGGCGAGGTCATGGAGTCCTTGACGAGGCCTATGGGTACGCATGTGCTGGTGCTCACGTGCTCGACGCGGATACGTTGGGGGGAGAGGCGAGGGATCCAGGCAACATGGCTCCTGAGCGGAGCCTTGAGTCTGATTCAGAGTGTTTCTTTCTTTTCTCTAGGGATCTAGTCGCACCTTCTCAGGTTAGGTGGTTGGAGTGATGTGTTCGACACTGTTATGTAGGTTTGGAGGGAACAATCACCTTCTGAGAAGGTACTTGGATCCCTATAGGGTTTAATATGGAACAGTATACGAAGAAATCATCTCTGGTGGGTGGCTTCAACTCGCGGGCGAGTCAGTGACGTGACTGGTGACTGAGTCAGTTCATTATCAATCATCTCAAGTCGAGGACAACAAGACAAATAATCTCATCTGAAACCCCAACAGAGGTTGAAGGACCTGAACTAGGACCCGTCACCTGGGGGACCCATAGGATTGCCTATAGGCTTCTTCAACCTCTGTTGGCCACCACCCAGATCTGCTTCGCTGCAATCCCATCCAATCAGCACAGCCGGGCATCTGCTTGAGGTTCGCCATAGGAAGACATGTTGTCGCTCATGAGGAGGGGCGGGACCTCAAGTGACGGCAGGCTACTGCTACTGCTACAGTGGTTTCAGAGTAAATGGCACAACCCCCAAGACGTCTTTTATGTTTTGGGCTCCATTTGAACCACCAAGACGTCTTGGGGATTGTGCCATCTACTCTGAAACCACCTGCTGGCTATGCCAAATCGACACAACACGAGTCAGGTGGGCGGATTTCGGCCAAAAAACACCTCGATGTGTCTCCCATCCTCCTCGATGGCCCTAGCAGGGTAAACCCCAGCTTGACCAGCCAGAATGGACATGAATAGACTACCTGACATGGTCAACCTGGTGAGTGAAACGGGCTCCTGGTGCCATGATGCCATGAGCCCCCCAAACGTTCCATGCATGGAATATATGCCACCCCATTGCACCCCGACTTCAACCATCCCCAATTGACCTATAGGCAAATATATGTCATACATGGAGTATCTAAGGAGTGTTTGGGTGGTCACCACGTGAAGATGCTCAACCTTCCCCGGGTCTTGTTCCATCGCCCGAGTTGGCTCGGCTTTTCCTTCCAACCGTCCCATCGAGCCTGATGGGAGATCGCTCCCCCGTTCAAACACTCCCTGAAACAATGAAGTCGAACATGGGAGATGACCATCACCCTCTACAAACAGGTGGTGAACTCCACTTCCATGAAGATTTCATGGAGTATAGCAGGTAGGTCTTCAGCTGCTCCCTTTAGATCCTTTAGAGATGGCCTCCAACCTATGGGGACCCCTATAAAAGCGATGGCCTCCAACCGAAGAGCGACGGCCTGACGAATATCGTAGCGATGCTTGTACACATCCGACTCTTGATCGGCTCAAAACAACTCTTGATCAACTTGAATCAGCGAACCTAGAAAATCCCAGATTTCAATCTTGCACTCTAGGATCAAGTTGACGACAAGTCTATACGGTTTCATCATGATGTTTTTTTTTGCTTGCCTCTCACTTCACCCCTTCAGCACATCGTTCAAAAGCCATCTGAACGAGAAGCCGTCCTCCATGCAGCTGATTCCCGTTCAGAACCCTCAAAATCCCCAGTTCCATGGCTCATCCACAATCTCCCGCCAACCCTTCTGGCGCCAGTTCAACCTGCACAGGTGCCCACCCAAGAAAACAAGAAAGCACCACTCCTTTCTTGCTCCACCCACCTCAATGCCACGAAGCAACTGCGCTCACGCCATTCATGGCACACCATGAGGCGACGTTTCAGGCAAGATCCCCGATGAAGCCAATGCAGCAAAGGACAAGATAGGGAGCACTCTGGGATGGACTCTTATACTGGGCAGAGCAGAGCAAAGCAGGTAGCTTCACCTCCTCCCACCCTTTTTCAACGGACTTCTCGAAGCATCCAAACTGGTTGCGGACGTCGGGTTTTCCTCGGCTCTTGGGTGTTTTTTTTTTCCATCGTTTGGAAAACCAAAACCCACAGGGCTCGAGGTGACTAGCTTAGCTTAGAAGACTCGAACGCCCCAAGTGCCGAGTGCACGTTTCTCTTTCTCTTCTAGCCATAGCGCTGCGATCGCCCAACTGGCACAGAAGACAACGGAAAAAGAGATCGAAAGCAAGACTGCTTCTCAGGAAGGCCAAACAAAAGGAACACCTGAAAGCAACCAAGACTGGACGCTTGCTAGCAGCACTGAAGTTGTTAGAACAGCACCATACGAAGCCAAGATACAGGTTTCGACTCCTGTTACCTGGAGCGATGTCATGGCGACAAACGAAGCAGAGATGGTCGACCAACGACCAGTGGGCATGGGAACAGCCATGGACAAAGAAGACCAAAGGAAAAGAGACCAGCAAGCCTTTTTTCTACGGCTACGACGGCAAGAAGATCGAGCTAGAAGACCAAGGTGGTGCTGGCTCTTCCTCCTCTTCGCAGCGATCATCGGAGGAAGCACTACGCGAAGAGAACAGGAAGTTGAAAGAGATGATGAAGAAAGCACAAGAGAGTGGAACGATGGGGGTATTGAGTGCTGCGGAAACGCAACAGCTACTCACTGTCGACCCACGCGAAGACCTCAAAGAAAGGCAGAAGCAGCTAAACATCGAAAGGAGGACTTTGAACAAGACGAGCAGGCTGAAAGAAACCATCGAAGAAAAAGAGAAGAAGTTTCAAGGATGGAAAGAGTTCATGGAGAAAGGACTAAGGCAAGAAGAGAAACGCCTTGCGAAAGATCTCCAAGAGTTGAACATGCACCTCAAGGATGCGGAAAAGTCCGAGAAAGAAGACGCCGAGCTCGTGGACGACAAAGACCAAGAAGAAGATCTCCAGCGACAAGAACTGGAAGACATGAAGGAACAGATGAGGGATTTTATGAACTATGCCACTGTCATGGAACAGAGACAAAGGCAACTCACCGAACAGGTGACTATGCTGGTTGGGGCTCTACAGGGTGCCAAATTAGTGGGAGATCCAGGACGAGATTCACCACAACATCCAATAGCTCTGACGCGGCACGACGAGATTGGGCAGAAAAGGGCTTCCGATGGAAAAGGAGACAGGTCTCGATCACCGGCGAAAGCTGCAAAATTGATCCACGACCCCCGGATGACCTTTGCTGCAATGATTCAGAAGGCATTAGAACCTCTGTCCGACCAGTGCCAGACGGTGATTTTGACGCAGCTCGAAGCAAATCGCCAGGAGTATCAGACGCAGGAGAGCGTCCAGAAGTTGATCGAGTCTGTGATCAAGGGAGAAGAGACACAGGCATCCCTCGATGCAGGAATCGGTGCTCATGTACCGGCAGCATTGCTTCCATTCCGGAAGCATCAGACAAGCAGATCCAGAGACAGTCCTTACAGCACACCGGTGGACTCACGGCCCAAAGGGAGCTTCAGTTCCCCGGATTGAGCCAAAAGGATGACACTATGAAGGGATTGTGCGCTCTTTTTCAAAGCAGCACTCCCTGGCAGTCAGCACAGGAGGCACCATTTGAAGTGCCGATATGCAATTCGTTTGAGATAGACACAGAAGCGATAGTAAGGATGGGTCCTGCTATATATTCTGTGGGTATGAGTGTATACATTGTCTGGTGTCAAATCCGAGCTTTCTTTTTTTCGATTTGGAGAGGATCCGAGTCGAATGACCTTTTCCAGAAGATGGTTCGTTGGATGTTCCAGCAATGTGCAATCCTAATATGGGCTAAAGCGATGGCAGAGTATGTCTATAGACTGATGCAAAGCTGGCCTCGGTATTTGTTTGGTAAGCGACAGAGATTGTACCCAGTGCCGACATGTTTGCAATTGCTTGCTCAGCTAAGGCCATTGTTGGTAAGCCTAGTAGTGAATGATGCATTTCTCGAAGCCATTCCAGATGGGGTACAGTGCACGATTGGAATCAAGTTCTTAATGCTTTTGTTCCAGGCGGGTCTCGGCTGTGTCTTTGTTTTGAGTGGGGCATTCCTTTTGAGAATGCGACTGGATGAACATTGTAGGAATGTTGGTTTTTGCCGGACTGTTGTGCGAACAAGGAGGAATAGGAACTTGACAAAGAGACCCAAAATTAACTGGGTTGGGATCTTTTTGTTGACCCAGATTTGCGGGGCGCAAGTTAACCCGTGGATTGCCGAATCTGCTTTAAGATATCTCGACGATGGTCTTGAGCAGCAAGTGGCCAACCAGAGCCTGCGGCAAGAAGAGACTCATGACTCCTTCAGATCTTACGGGAATCATGATGAGATAGGTCATAGAAAGACTGACAAAGAAGATCAGATACAAGGTCAGAATCCGATGCAATTTTGTTCTCAGGACAAGGAAGACATTTGCCTTGTACTTGACGCCACAGTGCCATTTTGTGAGTATTGGAGAGACCAAAACAGTTTTGTATGCCCACATTTTGAAGGTGAAGACACTGAGAAGCTAGTTGAAGACACGGTCGCCTATATGCAAGTTGGACTCCGTTCTGACCCTTTTGGCAGCTATATCCGAGCAATCAATCCGGATATTGATGTGAGAATTACGACATGGCTGCATACGTGGGACAGGCGGAACCAATGGTCTTATCTGCACAGGGTTGTCCATGTTGATGTAACTAGAGATATACGAACCCAAATTTTGAGATTTTGGCAAGACCACCAAGTGCGTAGTTCTGCAATTGTTACTGCTATTCGTCCACTACCGGCTTTTGGGATAGCCCAGCCAATGTTCTTGATTATGCCGGTTTCACCAGAAGAATGGCTGGGTTTCATTGCGACGGTGATCACACCATGGTATGCTTGGACAGGGTCATTGCTGATTGACGATGTCCTCTTTCGACCAGTCTCCGAGCTGTTTCCGCGGGCAGTGCCTCAGAATCTTTGTATCTGGCAGACCGTCTGTGAGGTCAGAATAGGGCAACGAACCTATCAATGGACGGATTTTGTCCCGCTTTTTGAAGGGGCAATGGTGCTTTTTGAAGAACAATGGATAGACGAAGACCTGGGTAGCACTACGTGCTCCAATGACACTGAAGAGAGTGTTAGTACGGAGACAGCAAGCTTAGAGACAGTGACGACAGATGACAACGAAGAGGACGATGCAGCAGGCTTGTGGCAAATTCTGACTGGTCACATTTTTTCGGTAGATGGTGTCAAGGAAGCAAATATACGAGGGGAGGAGTGCAATAAAACTACAGGAGAAAACACTGCAACTCCGGTGATTGTACAGAATGGACGCCATAGACCTGTCAAGGATAACACTGCAACCTTGAACTGCGACAATCTTGGTGAATGTCCTCAAGCCCAAGAGAGGCAAGATCTAGAAGAGGTTGACTACACCAATCTTATGCAGCGGACTGTTGCGACACGGGAAGTGGTCCCTTTCGAGATCGCAGCAGAAAGAGGACTGCCATTCACATGAAAGTCCTAACAATCACGCGAAAGATATTGACGTCAACATGGATGGAGCAAGGTCGTGACATGGGGTTTGATCATTTCAGACAACCTGGCCCAGGAATCTGGGAGAAACAAGTCATGGGATG